AGCCAAGGCGACAGTGACTGGAGTGCACAGTGGCGTGAGGTCAGTACAGTCGCGAAAGAAACAGCTGGACGCTCCAGAGTCGAGGGTGAAGGAAAGCTGTGCAGTCTCTGAGGTCGCACATGAGGTAGCAACAAAGGCTGGTACTAAACTAGTGGTAGCTGCAACTCCCACACTAAGAACCTCTGAGGGGCCTGGACTGGAAACTACACAAGCACCAAGACTGGAAGCACAAGTCTCAACCCCAGCTGCAACTCCCACGTACCGCTGTGTGTACTGGCCGGGTCCGACAGTGCCCCGCGGTGGAGGCTGCCGCTGTCGCTGCTGCTGAACCCGCAGCTGCTGCTGCTGCTGCTGCTGCTGCGGCCACTGCTGCAGCTGCGGCCAGTGGTGCTGCGGCCACAGGTGCTGCGGCGACCACTGCCGTTGCGGCCACTGCTGCTGCTGCCGCTGTCGCCACATCGAAATGGCACGCTAGTACGGGGAGGGGCTAGTCGAGGCGGCTGGACGGCTTAAGCTTGTGCAAGGGCGACTGAAGGTGAACTAAGCTGTTGCTGATGCGCTAAACGCGGGTGCTGGCGCATGGTGACGCTTCATAGCAAAAGCTGATGCAAGCTCTTTTTTTTTTTTTTTTTTTTTTTTTTTTACCGAATTAATTAATTTTTTTTCTTAAATCATGGAGGGCACGGGCGGCCAAGGGAGGGACGCGGGCGGCCTAGGAAATGGGACGCGCACGACTGCAGGTGCGCGGCTACGTCTGTGCAGTCGCGTGGGCGCGGCTGCGTGAGCTTGCGCGCGCGGCTGCGTTCGCGGCCTGTGTGCGCGCAGTCACAAGCGTGGCGAGAAAACGAGTGACAATTGAACATTCAGCACGGGCGAGGTCAGACACAGGGTCAGTGTTGGGTGCAAATTCACATTGCACGACATCATGCCGTCTGTACGAGTATGCGTGTGCAAATGCATTTGGGTGTGAATGGAATGTTCGTGTGTTTGTTTGCTTTCGCAATTTTCGCTTGATGCATTTGCCGGTACTCGTGCAATGTGCACTTTGGCACAACATTGTACGCGCTATGAACAGTGCAAGCAGAAAGGACGAGCTCGCAAAGGAACCCAAGATGGAAGCTTTGCAGTTCGGTTGAATTGATTGCGCAGATTCAGTTCTATCCAACTCGAAATTGTACGTTGCGTGCGCGCGGCTGTGTACGTGCTGGCGGCGCGCGCGCGGGCAGGAGCTAGGGTTACGGTGGGGGGGGGGGGGGGGGGGAGGACGGGCGACAGGGACAGACGACGGGCGCGAAAATTAGGGTGACGGGCGCGGGCACTAAGGCGACGGGCGACGGGCGCTACGGACGACGGGCGCTACGGGCGACGGGCGCTACGGGCGACGGGCGACGGGCGCTACGGACGACGGCGCTACGGGCGACGGGCGCTACGGGCGACGAGCGCTACGGGACGAAGTAGAGCGCCCGCGGGGGGCCGCGCTAAGGACGAACGGGAGCACCCGTGGGGGCCGCGCTAAGGACGAACGGGAGCGCCCGTGGGGGGGCGCGCAACGGGACGGACGAGAGCGCCCGCGGGGGCCACGCTAAGGACGAACGGGAGCGCCCGTGGGGGGCGCGCTAAGGACGAACGGGAGCGCCCACGGGGGGGGGGGGGGGTGAGCGTGCTACGGGGCGGACGAAGGCCCACGGGGGCCGCGCTACGGCCCGTGGGGTGACGGGACCTGCCGAGGGCATTAACGGACGGCTAACGGACGGCGAACGGACGGTGGACGGGCGGCTAACGGGCGGCTACCGAGCGGCTAGCATGTGAAACCCTAAACTGAGCGAGCCAACGGGCGGAGAGCGCGCTACGGGCGGCTATCAAGTACGAACAGGGCGTGCGGAGGTGGGCCCATGGGAACGAACTAAGCTCTATACCACGTCAAAGATAGAACTGGAACAATGAATAAGTAGAAACAAGCGGTACAAGGGAGGATATAGCAAACCCTAAGGGGGGTTATACCCTCTACAACATAACTCAATGTAACACCTAGACTAAACTAACAAACTATAACAATTATAGTTTGACAGCCGTGTGGCGGCCGGCGGCCGGCGGCCTTGCCGTGTGACGGCCGGCGGCCTTGCCGTGTGACGGCCGGCGGCCTTGCCGTGTGGCGGCCGGCGGCCTGCAACCAGCGGCCTTCCCGTGTGCCGGCCTTGCCGTGTGGCGGCCAACAGCCGGCAACCTTGCCGTGTGACGGCCAGCGGCCAGCGGCCTTGCCGTTTGGCGGCCAACAGCCGGCGACCTTGCCGTGTGACGGCCGGCGGCCGGCGGCCTTGCCGTGTGGCGGCTGGCGGCCTTGCCGTGTGGCGGCCGGCGGCCTACCCGCGTGGCGACCGGCGGCCGGCGTCCTTGTGTCAACATATATTTGATATGTTTAGTTTATGTTAGTCTAGGTGTACCATTTCATATTCCTAGGGTCAGCTATATCTTCTTGTATCTCGTTTCCCTTATTCCTGGGTCTCCCGACCCAGCACCTGCACGCTTGGTTCGTGGTCCCCTACCGTCCCCTCCTGTTCCCCCCGTCCAGTCCTTTTCCTCGTCCCAGTGGACTCGTCGTTCTCCCCTCAGTCGTGCTGTGTCTCCAGAGCCCCGTCGGTCTCGTTACCGTGCAGACGGCCCGTTTCACCTCGTTCTCCGCTCTCGTGTTCCACCTCCTCCAGTCCTTCCACAGCCTCCTGAGTCGTCCCTCACTGTGCTTCATGACCCGTTGTCTGACTATCTCCGTGCCTCCCGTCTTGTCGTCTCCCGTGTTTTGTCCGCGTTGGTCACTCACCCGACTGCACCCTTGTCGTCTGTATCAGCACTTGTTACCACTGTCGATGGCTTTGCCTCTTCCCACCACCTTGACTACGCCGCTCACCTGTTGAGTGGCCCTGCTCGTTCTCCGTCCTCTGGGGGTGCTCCTGTCTTTCCCTTGGAGGTCCTAGAGGACAGACACTTTGAGCTTGGTTTCTTTGCGGCCGCTGTTCCTCATCTCTGCGCCATGCTGCTTGCTCCTGAGGGGGATCCAGACGCTCTTGACATCCCGATCCCTCGCACTCACGCTGAGGCGGTCTCGGAACCTTGGGCCTCGTACTGGATTGCAGCTGAGGAGGCAGAGATGGCATCTTATAGGTCCACAGGCACTTACGTCGACGCAGTCCCACCACCTGGGACGAACGTCGTCAGTGGCCGATGGCTCTACAAGGTGAAGCGGCCGCCTGGATCACCACCAGTGCTCAAGGCGCACTACGTGGCGAGAGGTTTCAGTCAGCGAGAGGGGGTGGATTTCTTCCAGACCTTCGCTCCCACCCCGAAGATGAGTACTCTTCGGGTGTTGCTGCATATTGCAGCCCAGCGCGACTACGAGTTGCACTCCCTGGACTTTTCCACCGCGTTCCTTCAGGGGAGCCTGCACGAGCAGATCTGGCTGCGTCACCCGCTTGGCTTCACTGGCTCTTTCCCACCTGGGACCCAGTGGCAGCTGCGTCGACCAGTCTACGGCCTGTGTCCGGCTCCACGTGAGTGGCACGACACACTTCGCGAGCAGTGCTTGACTTCTTTCCGTCGTGTGCCGACCCGTCACTGTTCGTCCCCGTTCTTTGTTCTTGTTTACGTTGACGACCTGATCTTCGCCACTCCCGACCGACACGCACTGGCCTCCGTGAAGGAGGAACTGCAGAGGAGACACACTTGCACTGACCTTGGTGAGATGCAGCACTACCTTGGCCTGCAGATCACTAGGGACAGGGCAGCTCGCACCGTTACGCAGTCGCAGTCGCATATGGTCGAGCAGATCCTCACGCGGTTTCGCTTCCCGTTCTCCAAGGTACAGCTCACCCCTCTTGGTGTGGATCATGGGCTCACGGCTCCACCTTCGGACGAGTCATTTGAGCCCAGTGGTCCATATTCTGAGCTGGTGGGTTGTCTCATGTACCTGATGACCCGTACTCGCCCAGACATAGCTTACCCTCTTAGCGTCCTTGCGCGCTTTGTTGCGACTGGGAGACACCGACCGTCCCACTGGTACGCTGCTAAGAGGGTGGCAAAGTATGTGGCGAGTACATCAGGATGGGACTTGTCGTTGGAGGGAAGCAGCCAGTTACACTCACAGGTTACTCGGACTCGTCGTGGGCCGACGACGCGGAGACGCGTCGGTCTACACAGAGGTTCTCCTTTAGCCTCGGGACAGGTGCTGTTTCATGGCTGTTTCGTGGCGGTCGACTCGGGCGTCGTCCGTCTCCGGTTCCAACTATGAGGCAGAGGTATACGCTGCGGCCATGGCCGCCCAGGAGCTTCGCTAGCTGTCTTTCCTTCTCACCGACCTTGGTGAGCGGCCTCGCACTCCCCCAGTCTTGTTCGTCGACAACAGGTCTGCTGTCCTGTTGTGTGAGGAGCCTCGACTGGTTGGGAAGTCGAAGCACATCCAGCTTCGTTACTTCCTTCTGCGTGAGTTGCAGCAGCGTGGCCAGACACTCGTACGACGTGTGGTCTCTGAGGCCAACACGGCAGATATCTTCAACAAGGCGATGCCGCCTTGTGACCACCAACGTTTCTGCACCCAGCTTGGCCTTCTGCCTACCCGTCCTCACTTGTTTACCTAGAGACGCCTTGTCCTGTTTGTCTTGTACCCTTGCATCTTCTTATATTTGCTATATTCCTGCATGTGGACTGGCCTTGTGACCCCTTGCTTGCTCTCGGAGTGTGTGGTGACTTTGAGCTCCACCCTGAGATTTGCCTTGTTCTTGTGGATTGGTCTTGTGACCCTTGCTTGTTCTTGCTGACTGGTCATGTGACCCTTGCTTGCTCTCAGAATGTGTGTGCCCCACCCTGAGATTTGTGTTGCTTTCCACAAGACTGCCGTCACCTAGACTATGGGGGTGTGTCAACATATATTTTTATATGTTTAGTTTATGTTAGTGTACGTGTACCATTTCATATTCCTAGGGTTAGCTATATCTTTTTGTATCTCGTTTCCCTTAGTCAATATTTTCACCCGTTCTAATCTCGACACCTTGCCGTGTGGCCGCCAGCGGCCTTGCCGTGTGGCGGCTGGCAGCCGGCGGCCTTGCCGTTTCGCGGCCGGCGGCCGGCGGCCTTGCCGTGTGGCGGCCGACGGCCTTGCCGTGTGGCGGCCGGCGGCCGGCGGCCTTGCCGTGTGGCGGCCGACGGCCTTGCCGTGTGGCGGCCGGCAGCCGGCAGCCTTGCTGTGTGGCGGCCAGCGGCCTTGCCGTGTGGCGGCCGACGGCCCGCGGTCTTGCCGTGTGGCGGCCGGCGGCCTTGCCGTGTGGCGGCCGGCGGCCTTGCCGTGTGGCGGTCGCCGGCCGGCGGCCTTGCCGTGTGGCTGCCGGCGGCCTTGCCGTGTGGCTGCCGGCGGCCTTGCCGTGTGGCTGCCGGCGGCCTTGCCGTGTGGCGGCCGGCGGCCGGCGGCCTTGCCGTGTGGCGGCCGGCGGCCTTGCCGTGTGGCGGCCGGCGGCCTTGCCGTGTGGCGGCCGGCGGCCTTGCCGTGTGGCGACCGGCGGCCGGCGGCCTTGCCGAGTGACGGCCGGCGGCCTTGCCGGTTGGCGGCCGGCGGCCGGCGGCCTTGCCGTGTGGCGGCCGGCGGCCGGCGGCCTTGCCGTGTGGCGGCCGGCGGCCGGCGGCCTTGCCGTGTGGCGGCCGGCGGCCGGCGGCCTTGCCGTGTGGCGGCCGGCGGCCGGCGGCCTTGCCGGTTGGCGGCCGGCGGCCTTGCCGGTTGGCGGCCGGCGGCCTTGCCGTGTGGCGGCCGGCGGCCTTGCCGGTTGGCGGCCGGCGGCCGGCGGCCTTGCCGGTTGGCGGCCGGCGGCCTTGCCGTGTGGCGGCTGGCGGCCGGCGGCCTTACCGTGTGACGGCCGGCGGCCGGCGGCTCTGCCGTGAGACGGCCGGCGGCCGGTGGCCGGCGGCCTTGCCGTGTGGCGGCCGGCGGCCTTGCCGTGTGACGGCCGGCGGCCTTGCCGTGTGGCGGCCGGCGGCCGGCGGCCTTGCCGTGTGGCGGCCGGCGGCCGGCGGCCTTGCCGTGTGGCGGCCGGCGGCCGGCGGCCTTGCCGTGTGGCGGCCGGCGGCCGGCGGCCTTGCCGTGTGGCGGCCGGCGGCCGGCGGCCTTGCCGTGTGGCGGCCGGCGGCCGGCGGCCTTGCCGTGTGGCGGCCGGCGGCCGGCGGCCTTGCCGTGTGGCGGCCGGCGGCCGGCGGCCTTGCCGTGTGGCGGCCGGCGGCCTTGCCGTGTGGCGGCCGGCGGCCGGCGGCCTTGCCGTGTGGCGGCCGGCGTCCGGCGGCCTTGCCGTGTGGCGGCCGGCGGCCGGCGGCCTTGCCGTGTGGCGGCCGGCGGCCGGCGGCCTTGCCGGTTGGCGGCCTTGCCGGTTGGCGGCCGGCGGCCGGCGGCCTTGCCGTGTGGCGGCCGGCGGCCTTGCCGGTTGGCGGCCGGCGGCCGGCGGCCTTGCCGGTTGGCGGCCGGCGGCCTTGCCGTGTGGCGGCTGGCGGCCGGCGGCCTTACCGTGTGACGGCCGGCGGCCGGCGGCTCTGCCGTGAGACGGCCGGCGGCCGGTGGCCGGCGGCCTTGCCGTGTGGCGGCCGGCGGCCGGCGGCCTTGCCGTGTGGCGGCCGGCGGCCGGCGGCCTTGCCGTGTGGCGGCCGGCGGCCGGCGGCCTTGCCGTGTGGCGGCCGGCGGCCTTGCCGGTTGGCGGCCGGCGGCCGGCCGCCTTGCCGTGTGGCGGCCGGCGGCCGGCCGCCTTGCCGTGTGGCGGCCGGCGGCCGGCGGCCTTGCCGTGTGGCGGCCGGCGGCCGGCGGCCTTGCCGTGTGGCGGCCTGCGGCCGGCGGCCGGCGGCCTTGCAGTGTGGCGGCCGGCGGCCTTGCCGTGTGGCGGCCGGCGGCATTGCCGGTTGGCGGCCGGCAGCCGGCGGCCTTGCCGTGTGGCGGCCGGCGGCCGGCGGCCTTGCCGGTTGGCGGCCGGCGGCCGGCGGCCTAGCCGGTTGGCGGCCGGCGGCCGGCGGCCTTGCCGTGTGGCGGCCGGCGGCCGGCGGCCTTGCCGTGTGGCGGCCGGCGGCCTTGCCGGTTGGCGGCCGACGGCCGGCGGCCTTGCCGTGTGGCGGCCGGCGGCCGGCGGCTTGCCGCGCGGCGGCCGGCGCAGCTGGCGGCCGGCGCGGCTGGCGGCCGGCGGCCTTGCCGTGCGACGGCCGGCGGCCTTGCCGTGCGGCGGCCGGCGGCCTTGCCGTGCGGCGGCCGGCGGCCTTGCCGTGCGGCGGCCGGCGGCCTTGCCGTGCGGCGGCCGGCGGCCTTGCCGTGCGGCGGCCGGCGGCCTTGCCGTGCGGCGGCCGGCGGCCGGCGGCCTTGCCGGTTGGCGGCCGGCGGCCGGCGGCCGGCGGCCTTGCCGGTTGGCGGACGGCGGCCGGCGCCCGGCGGCCTTGCCGGTTGGCGGACGGCGGCCGGCGGCCTTGCCGTGTGGCGGCCGGCGGCCTTGCCGGTTGGCGGCCGGCGGCCGGCGGCCTTGCCGGTTGGCGGCCGGCGGCCTTGCCGGTTGGTGGCCGGCGGCCGGCGGCCTTGCCGTGTGGCGGCCGGCGGCCTTGCCGGTTGGCGGCCGGCGGCCGGCGGCCTTGCCTTGTGGCGGCCGGCGGCCGGCGGCCTTGCCGTGTGGCGGCCGGCGGCCGGCGGCCTTGCCGGTTGGCGGCCGGCGGCCGGCGGCCTTGCCGTGTGGCGGCCGGCGGCCGGCGGCCTTGCCGTGTGGCGGCCGGCGGCCTTGCCGGTTGGCGGCCGGTGGCCGGCGGCCTTGCCGTGTGACGGCCGGCGGCCTTGCCGGTTGGCGGCCGGCGGCCGGCGGCCTTGCCGTGCGGCGGCCGGCGGCCTTGCCGTGTGGCTGCCGGCGGCCGGCGGCCTTGCCGTGTGGCGGCCGGCGGCCTTGCCGTGTGGCGGCCGGCGGCCGGCGGTCTTGCCGGTTCGCGGCCGGCGGCCGGCGGCCTTGCCGTGTGGCGGCCGGCGGCCGGCGGCCTTGCCGTGTGGCGGCCGGCGGCGGGCGGCCGGCGGCCTTGCCGTGTGGCGGCCGGCGGCCTTGCCGTGTGGCGGCCGGCGGCCTTTCCGATTGGCGGCCGGCGGCCGGCGGCCTTGCCGTGTGACGGCCGGCGGCCTTGCCGGTTGGCGGCCGGCGGCCTTGCCGTGTGGCGGCCTGCGGCCGGCGGCCGGCGGCCTTGCCGTGTGGCGGCCGGCGGCCTTGCCGTGTGGCGGCCGGCGGCCGGCGGCCTTGCCGTGTGGCGGCCGGCGGCCGGCGGCCTTGCCGGTTGGCAACCGGCGGCCTTGCCGTGTGGCGGCCGGCGGCCTTGCCGTGTGGCGGCCGGCGGCCTTGCCGTGCGGCTCCGGCAGCCGGCGGCCGGCGGCCTTGCCGTGCGGCGGCCGGCGGCCTTGCCGTGCGGCGGCCGGCGGCCTTGCCGTGCGGCGGCCGGCGGCCTTGCCGTGCGGCGGCCGGCGGCCTTGCTGGTTGGCGGCCGGCGGCCGGCGGCCTTGCCGGTTGGCGGACGGCGGCCGGCGGCGTTGCCGGTTGGCGGCCGGCGGCCGGCGGCCTTGCCGTGTGGCGGCCGGCGGCCTTGCCGGTTGGCGGCCGGCGGCTGGCGGCCTTGCCGTGTGGCGGCCGGCGGCCTTGCCGGTTGGCGGCCGGCGGCCGGCGGCCTTGCCGTGTGGCGGCCGGCGGCCGGCGGCCTTGCCGTGTGGCGGCCGGCGGCCGGCGGCCTTGCCGTGTGGCGGCCGGCGGCCTTGCCGTGTGGCGGCCGGCGGCCTTGCCGGTTGGCGGCCGGCGGCCTTGCCGTGTGACAGCCGGCGGCCTTGCCGGTTGGCGGCCGGCGGCCGGCGGCCTTGCCGGTTGGCGGCCGGCGGCCGGCGGCCTTGCCGTGCGGCGGCCGGCGGCCGGCGGCCTTGCCGTGCGGCGGCCGGCGGCCGGCGGCCTTGCCGTGCGGCGGCCGGCGGCCGGCGGCCTTGCCGGTTGGCGGCCGGCGGCCTTGCCGTGTGGCGGCCGGCAGCCGTCGGCCTTTCCGTGTGGCGGCCGGCGGCCGGCGGCCTTGCCGTGTGGCGGCCGGCGGCCTTGCCGTGTGGCGGCCGGCGGCCGGCGGCCTTGCCGGTTGGCGGCCTTGCCGGTTGGCGGCCGGCGGCCGGCGGCCTTGCCGTGTGGCGGCCGGCGGCCGGCGGCCTTGCCGTGTGGCGGCCGGCGGCCGGCGGCCTTGCCGTGTGGCGGCCGGCGGCCGGCGGCCTTGCCGTGTGGCGGCCGGCGGCCGGCGGCCTTGCCGTGTGGCGGCCGGCGGCCGGCGGCCTTGCCGTGTGGCGGCCGGCGGCCGGCGGCCTTGCCGTGTGGCGGCCGGCGGCCGGCGGCCTTGCCGTGTGGCGGCCGGCGGCCTTGCCGGTTGGCGGCCGGCGGCCGGCGGCCTTGCCGTGTGACGGCCGGCGGCCTTGCCGGTTGGCGGCCGGCGGCCGGCGGCCTTGCCGTGCGGCGGCCGGCGGCCTTGCCGTGTGGCTGCCGGCGGCCGGCGGCCTTGCCGTGTGGCGGCCGGCGGCCTTGCCGTGTGGCGGCCGGCGGCCTTGCCGTGTGGCGGCCGGCGGCCGGCGGCCTTGCCGGTTCGCGGCCGGCGGCCGGCGGCCTTGCCGTGTGGCGGCCGGCGGCCGGCGGCCTTGCCGGTTGGCGGCCGGCGGCCGGCGGCCTTGCCGTGTGGCGGCCGGCGGCCGGCGGCCTTGCCGTGTGGCGGCCGGCGGCCTTGCCGTGTGACGGCCGGCGGCGGGCGGCCGGCGGCCTTGCCGTGTGGCGGCCGGCGGCCTTGCCGTGTGGCGGCCGGCGGCCGGCGGCCTTGCCGTGTGGCGGCCGGCGGCCTTGCCGTGTGGCGGCCGGCGGCCTTGCCGTGTGGCGGCCGGCGGCCTTTCCGATTGGCGGCCGGCGGCCGGCGGCCTTGCCGTGTGACGGCCGGCGGCCTTGCCGGTTGGCGGCCGGCGGCCTTGCCGTGTGGCGGCCTGCGGCCGGCGGCCGGCGGCCTTGCCGTGTGGCGGCCGGCGGCCTTGCCGGTTGGCGGCCGGCGGCCGGCGGCCTTGCCGTGTGGCGGCCGGCGGCCGGCGGCCTTGCCGGTTGGCGGCCGGCGGCCGGCGGCCTTGCCGTGTGGCGGCCGGCGGCCTTGCCGTGCGGCTCCGGCGGCCGGCGGCCTTGCCGTGCGGCGGCCGGCGGCCTTGCCGGTTGGCGGCCGGCGGCCGGCGGCCTTGCCGTGCGGCGGCCGGCGGCCTTGCCGTGTGGCGGCCGGCGGCCGGCGGCCTTGCCGTGCGGCGGCCGGCGGCCTTGCTGGTTGGCTGCCGGCGGCCGGCGGCCTTGCCGGTTGGCGGACGGCGGCCGGCGGCCGGCGGCGTTGCCGGTTGGCGGCCGGCGGCCGGCGGCCGGCGGCGTTGCCGGTTGGCGGCCGGCGGCCGGCGGCCTTGCCGTGTGGCGGCCGGCGGCCTTGCCGGTTGGCGGCCGGCGGCTGGCGGCCTTGCCGTGTGGCGGCCGGCGGCCGGCGGCCTTGCCGGTTGGCGGCCGGCGGCCGGCGGCCTTGCCGTGTGGCGGCCGGCGGCCTTGCCGTGTGGCGGCCGGCGGCCGGCGGCCTTGCCGTGTGGCGGCCGGCGGCCGGCGGCCTTGCCGTGTGGCGGCCGGCGGCCTTGCCGTGTGGCGGCCGGCGGCCGGCGGCCTTGCCGTGTGGCGGCCGGCGTCCGGCGGCCTTGCCGTGTGGCGGCCGGCGGCCGGCGGCCTTGCCGTGTGGCGGCCGGCGGCCGGCGGCCTTGCCGGTTGGCGGCCTTGCCGGTTGGCGGCCGGCGGCCGGCGGCCTTGCCGTGTGGCGGCCGGCGGCCTTGCCGGTTGGCGGCCGGCGGCCGGCGGCCTTGCCGGTTGGCGGCCGGCGGCCTTGCCGTGTGGCGGCTGGCGGCCGGCGGCCTTACCGTGTGACGGCCGGCGGCCGGCGGCTCTGCCGTGAGACGGCCGGCGGCCGGTGGCCGGCGGCCTTGCCGTGTGGCGGCCGGCGGCCGGCGGCCTTGCCGTGTGGCGGCCGGCGGCCGGCGGCCTTGCCGTGTGGCGGCCGGCGGCCGGCGGCCTTGCCGTGTGGCGGCCGGCGGCCTTGCCGGTTGGCGGCCGGCGGCCGGCCGCCTTGCCGTGTGGCGGCCGGCGGCCGGCCGCCTTGCCGTGTGGCGGCCGGCGGCCGGCGGCCTTGCCGTGTGGCGGCCGGCGGCCGGCGGCCTTGCCGTGTGGCGGCCTGCGGCCGGCGGCCGGCGGCCTTGCAGTGTGGCGGCCGGCGGCCTTGCCGTGTGGCGGCCGGCGGCATTGCCGGTTGGCGGCCGGCAGCCGGCGGCCTTGCCGTGTGGCGGCCGGCGGCCGGCGGCCTTGCCGGTTGGCGGCCGGCGGCCGGCGGCCTAGCCGGTTGGCGGCCGGCGGCCGGCGGCCTTGCCGTGTGGCGGCCGGCGGCCGGCGGCCTTGCCGTGTGGCGGCCGGCGGCCTTGCCGGTTGGCGGCCGACGGCCGGCGGCCTTGCCGTGTGGCGGCCGGCGGCCGGCGGCTTGCCGCGCGGCGGCCGGCGCAGCTGGCGGCCGGCGCGGCTGGCGGCCGGCGGCCTTGCCGTGCGACGGCCGGCGGCCTTGCCGTGCGGCGGCCGGCGGCCTTGCCGTGCGGCGGCCGGCGGCCTTGCCGTGCGGCGGCCGGCGGCCTTGCCGTGCGGCGGCCGGCGGCCTTGCCGTGCGGCGGCCGGCGGCCTTGCCGTGCGGCGGCCGGCGGCCGGCGGCCTTGCCGGTTGGCGGCCGGCGGCCGGCGGCCTTGCCGTGTGGCGGCCGGCGGCCTTGCCGGTTGGCGGCCGGCGGCCGGCGGCCTTGCCTTGTGGCGGCCGGCGGCCGGCGGCCTTGCCGTGTGGCGGCCGGCGGCCGGCGGCCTTGCCGTGTGGCGGCCGGCGGCCTTGCCGGTTGGCGGCCGGCGGCCGGCGGCCTTGCCGTGTGACGGCCGGCGGCCTTGCCGGTTGGCGGCCGGCGGCCGGCGGCCTTGCCGTGCGGCGGCCGGCGGCCTTGCCGTGTGGCTGCCGGCGGCTGGCGGCCTTGCCGTGTGGCGGCCGGCGGCCTTGCCGTGTGGCGGCCGGCGGCCGGCGGTCTTGCCGGTTCGCGGCCGGCGGCCGGCGGCCTTGCCGTGTGGCGGCCGGCGGCCGGCGGCCTTGCCGTGTGGCGGCCGGCGGCGGGCGGCCGGCGGCCTTGCCGTGTGGCGGCCGGCGGCCTTGCCGTGTGGCGGCCGGCGGCCTTTCCGATTGGCGGCCGGCGGCCGGCGGCCTTGCCGTGTGACGGCCGGCGGCCTTGCCGGTTGGCGGCCGGCGGCCTTGCCGTGTGGCGGCCTGCGGCCGGCGGCCGGCGGCCTTGCCGTGTGGCGGCCGGCGGCCGGCGGCCTTGCCGTGTGGCGGCCGGCGGCCGGCGGCCTTGCCGGTTGGCAACCGGCGGCCTTGCCGTGTGGCGGCCGGCGGCCTTGCCGTGTGGCGGCCGGCGGCCTTGCCGTGCGGCTCCGGCAGCCGGCGGCCGGCGGCCTTGCCGTGCGGCGGCCGGCGGCCTTGCCGTGCGGCGGCCGGCGGCCTTGCCGTGCGGCGGCCGGCGGCCTTGCCGTGCGGCGGCCGGCGGCCTTGCTGGTTGGCGGCCGGCGGCCGGCGGCCTTGCCGGTTGGCGGACGGCGGCCGGCGGCGTTGCCGGTTGGCGGCCGGCGGCCGGCGGCCTTGCCGTGTGGCGGCCGGCGGCCTTGCCGGTTGGCGGCCGGCGGCTGGCGGCCTTGCCGTGTGGCGGCCGGCGGCCTTGCCGGTTGGCGGCCGGCGGCCGGCGGCCTTGCCGTGTGGCGGCCGGCGGCCGGCGGCCTTGCCGTGTGGCGGCCGGCGGCCGGCGGCCTTGCCGTGTGGCGGCCGGCGGCCTTGCCGTGTGGCGGCCGGCGGCCTTGCCGGTTGGCGGCCGGCGGCCTTGCCGTGTGACAGCCGGCGGCCTTGCCGGTTGGCGGCCGGCGGCCGGCGGCCTTGCCGGTTGGCGGCCGGCGGCCGGCGGCCTTGCCGTGCGGCGGCCGGCGGCCGGCGGCCGGCGGCCTTGCCGGTTGGCGGCCGGCGGCCTTGCCGTGTGGCGGCCGGCAGCCGTCGGCCTTTCCGTGTGGCGGCCGGCGGCCGGCGGCCTTGCCGTGTGGCGGCCGGCGGCCTTGCCGTGTGGCGGCCGGCGGCCGGCGGCCTTGCCGGTTGGCGGCCTTGCCGGTTGGCGGCCGGCGGCCGGCGGCCTTGCCGTGTGGCGGCCGGCGGCCGGCGGCCTTGCCGTGTGGCGGCCGGCGGCCGGCGGCCTTGCCGTGTGGCGGCCGGCGGCCGGCGGCCTTGCCGTGTGGCGGCCGGCGGCCGGCGGCCTTGCCGTGTGGCGGCCGGCGGCCGGCGGCCTTGCCGTGTGGCGGCCGGCGGCCGGCGGCCTTGCCGTGTGGCGGCCGGCGGCCGGCGGCCTTGCCGTGTGGCGGCCGGCGGCCTTGCCGGTTGGCGGCCGGCGGCCGGCGGCCTTGCCGTGTGACGGCCGGCGGCCTTGCCGGTTGGCGGCCGGCGGCCGGCGGCCTTGCCGTGCGGCGGCCGGCGGCCTTGCCGTGTGGCTGCCGGCGGCCGGCGGCCTTGCCGTGTGGCGGCCGGCGGCCTTGCCGTGTGGCGGCCGGCGGCCTTGCCGTGTGGCGGCCGGCGGCCGGCGGCCTTGCCGGTTCGCGGCCGGCGGCCGGCGGCCTTGCCGTGTGGCGGCCGGCGGCCGGCGGCCTTGCCGGTTGGCGGCCGGCGGCCGGCGGCCTTGCCGTGTGGCGGCCGGCGGCCGGCGGCCTTGCCGTGTGGCGGCCGGCGGCCTTGCCGTGTGACGGCCGGCGGCGGGCGGCCGGCGGCCTTGCCGTGTGGCGGCCGGCGGCCTTGCCGTGTGGCGGCCGGCGGCCGGCGGCCTTGCCGTGTGGCGGCCGGCGGCCTTGCCGTGTGGCGGCCGGCGGCCTTGCCGTGTGGCGGCCGGCGGCCTTTCCGATTGGCGGCCGGCGGCCGGCGGCCTTGCCGTGTGACGGCCGGCGGCCTTGCCGGTTGGCGGCCGGCGGCCTTGCCGTGTGGCGGCCTGCGGCCGGCGGCCGGCGGCCTTGCCGTGTGGCGGCCGGCGGCCTTGCCGGTTGGCGGCCGGCGGCCGGCGGCCTTGCCGTGTGGCGGCCGGCGGCCGGCGGCCTTGCCGGTTGGCGGCCGGCGGCCGGCGGCCTTGCCGTGTGGCGGCCGGCGGCCTTGCCGTGCGGCTCCGGCGGCCGGCGGCCTTGCCGTGCGGCGGCCGGCGGCCTTGCCGTGCGGCGGCCGGCGGCCTTGCCGGTTGGCGGCCGGCGGCCGGCGGCCTTGCCGTGCGGCGGCCGGCGGCCTTGCCGTGCGGCGGCCGGCGGCCGGCGGCCTTGCCGTGCGGCGGCCGGCGGCCTTGCTGGTTGGCGGCCGGCGGCCGGCGGCCTTGCCGGTTGGCGGACGGCGGCCGGCGGCCGGCGGCGTTGCCGGTTGGCGGCCGGCGGCCGGCGGCCGGCGGCGTTGCCGGTTGGCGGCCGGCGGCCGGCGGCCTTGCCGTGTGGCGGCCGGCGGCCTTGCCGGTTGGCGGCCGGCGGCTGGCGGCCTTGCCGTGTGGCGGCCGGCGGCCGGCGGCCTTGCCGGTTGGCGGCCGGCGGCCGGCGGCCTTGCCGTGTGGCGGCCGGCGGCCTTGCCGTGTGGCGGCCGGCGGCCGGCGGCCTTGCCGTGTGGCGGCCGGCGGCCGGCGGCCTTGCCGTGTGGCGGCCGGCGGCCGGCGGCCTTGCCGTGTGGCGGCCGGCGGCCTTGCCGTGTGGCGGCCGGCGGCCTTGCCGGTTGGCGGCCGGCGGCCTTGCCGTGTGACAGCCGGCGGCCTTGCCCGTTGGCGGCCGGCGGCCGGCGGCCTTGCCGTGCGGCGGCCGGCGGCCGGCGGCCTTGCCGTGCGGCGGCCGGCGGCCTTGCCGGTTGGCGGCCGGCAGCCGTCGGCCTTTCCTTGTGGCGGCCGGCGGCCGGCGGCCTTGCCGTGTGGCGGCCGGCGGCCGGCGGCCTTGCCGGTTGGCGGCCGGCGGCCGGCGGCCTTGCCGTGTGGCGGCCGGCGGCCTTGCCGGTTGGCGGCCGGCGGGCGGCGGCCTTGCCGTGGGGCGGCCGGCGGCCTTGCCGTGTGGCGGCCGGCGGCCTTGCCGTGTGGCGGCCGGCGGCCTGCGGCCGGCGGCCTTGCCGTGTGGCTGCCGGCGGCCGGCAGCCTTGCCGTGAGACGGCCGGCGGCCGGCAGCCGGCGGCCTTGCCGTGTGGCGGCCGGCGGCCGGCGGCCTTGCCGTGTGACGGCCGGCGGCCTTGCCGTGTGACGGCCGGCGGCCTTGCCGGTTGGCGGCCGACGGCCGGCGGCCTTGCCGTGTGGCGGCCGGCGGCCGGCGGCCTTGTCGGTTGGCGGCCGGCGGCCGGCGGCCTTGCCGTGTGGCGGCCGGCGGCCTTGCCGTGTGGCGGCCGGCGGCCGGCGGCCTTGCCGGTTCGCGGCCGGCGGCCGGCGGCCTTGCCGTGTGGCGGCCGGCGGCCGGCGGCCTTGCCGGTTGGCGGCCGGCGGCCGGCGGCCTTGCCGTGTGGCGGCCGGCGGCCGGCGGCCTTGCCGTGTGGCGGCCGGCGGCCTTGCCGTGTGACGGCCGGCGGCGGGCGGCCGGCGGCCTTGCCGTGTGGCGGCCAGCGGCCTTGCCGTGTGGCGGCCGGCGGCCGGCGGCCTTGCCGTGTGGCGGCCGGCGGCCTTGCCGTGTGGCGGCCGGCGGCCTTGCCGTGTGGCGGCCGGCGGCCTTTCCGATTGGCGGCCGGCGGCCGGCGGCCTTGCCGTGTGACGGCCGGCGGCCTTGCCGGTTGGCGGCCGGCGGCCTTGCCGTGTGGCGGCCTGCGGCCGGCGGCCGGCGGCCTTGCCGTGTGGCGGCCGGCGGCCTTGCCGGTTGGCGGCCGGCGGCCGGCGGCCTTGCCGTGTGGCGGCCGGCGGCCGGCGGCCTTGCCGGTTGGCGGCCGGCGGCCGGCGGCCTTGCCGTGTGGCGGCCGGCGGCCTTGCCGTGCGGCTCCGGCGGCCGGCGGCCTTGCCGTGCGGCGGCCGGCGGCCTTGCCGTGCGGCGGCCGGCGGCCTTGCCGGTTGGCGGCCGGCGGCCGGCGGCCTTGCCGTGCGGCGGCCGGCGGCCTTGCCGTGCGGCGGCCGGCGGCCTTGCCGTGTGGCGGCCGGCGGCCGGCGGCCTTGCCGTGCGGCGGCCGGCGGCCTTGCTGGTTGGCGGCCGGCGGCCGGCGGCCTTGCCGGTTGGCGGACGGCGGCCGGCGGCCGGCGGCGTTGCCGGTTGGCTGCCGGCGGCCGGCGGCCGGCGGCGTTGCCGGTTGGCGGCCGGCGGCCGGCGGCCTTGCCGTGTGGCGGCCGGCGGCCTTGCCGGTTGGCGGCCGGCGGCTGGCGGCCTTGCCGTGTGGCGGCCGGCGGCCGGCGGCCTTGCCGGTTGGCGGCCGGCGGCCGGCGGCCTTGCCGTGTGGCGGCCGGCGGCCTTGCCGGTTGGCGGCCGACGGCCGGCGGCCTTGCCGTGTGGCGGCCGGCGGCCGGCGGCCTTGTCGGTTGGCGGCCGGCGGCCGGCGGCCTTGCCGTGTGGCGGCCGGCGGCCTTGCCGTGTGGCGGCCGGCGGCCTTGCCGGTTGGCGGCCGGCGGACTTGCCGTGTGGCGGCCGGCGGCCTTGCCGAGGGGCGGCCGGCGGCCTTGCCGGTTGGCGGCCGGCGGCCGGCGGCCGGCGGCCTTGCCGAGGGGCGGCCGGCGGCCTTGCCGGTTGGCGGCCGGCGGCCGGCGGCCTTGCCGAGGGGCGGCCGGCGGCCGGCGGCCTTGCCGTGTGACGGCCGGCGGCCTTGCCGGTTGGCGGCCGGCGGCCGGCGGCCTTGCCGTGTGGCGGCCGGCGGCCTTGCCGTGTGGCGGCCGGCGGCCTTGCCGTGTGGCGGCCGGCGGCCTTGCCGTGTGGCGGCCGGCGGCCTTGCCGTGTGGCGGCCGGCGGCCTTGCCGTGTGGCGGCCGGCGGCCTTGCCGTGTGGCGGCCGGCGGCCTTGCCGTGTGGCGGCCGGCGGCCTTGCCGTGTGGCGGCCGGCGGCCTTGCCGTGTGGCGGCCGGCGGCCGGCGGCCTTGCCGTGTGGCGGCCGGCGGCCTTGCCGTGTGGCGGCCGGCGGCCGGCGGCCTTGCCGTGTGGCGGCCGGCGGCCTTGCCGTGTGGCGGCCGGCGGCCTTGCCGTGTGGCGGCCGGCGGCCGGCGGCCTTGCCGTGTGACGGCTGGCGGCCTTGCCGGTTGGCGGCCGGCGGCCGGCGGCCTTGCCGTGTGACGGTCGGCGGCCTTGCCGTGTGGCGCCCGTGGGGGCCGCGCTAAGGACGAACGAGAGCGCCCGTGGGGGGGCGTGCGCTACGGGACGGACGAGTGCGCCCGCGGGGGCCACGCTAAGGACGAACGGGAGCGCCCGTGGGGGGGCGCGCTAAGGACGAACGGGAGCGCCCACGGGGGGGGGGGGGGGGGGGGGGGCGGCGTGCTACGGGACGGACGAAGGCCCGCGGGGGCCGCGCTACGGCCCGTGGGGTGACGGGACCTGCCGAGGGCGTTAACGGACGGCTAACGGACGGCGAACGGACGGTGGACGGGCGGCTAACGGGCGGCTACCAAGCGGCTAGCATGTGAATCCCTAAAACGAGCGAGCCAACGGGCGGCGAGCGCGCTACGGGCGGCTATCGAGTAACGAACGGGGCGTACGGAGGTGGGCCCATGGGAACGAACTAAGCTCTATACCAAGTCAAAGATAGAACTGGAATAATGAATGAGTAGAAACAAGCAGTACAAGGGAGGATATAGCAAACCCTAAGGGGGGTTATACCCTCTACAACATAACTCAATGTAACACCTAGACTAAACTAACAAACTATAACAAGTATAGTTTGACAGCCGTGTGGCGGCCGGCGGCCGGCAGCCTTGCCGTGAGACGGCCGGCGGCCGGCGGCCGGCGGCCTTGCCGTGTGGCGGCCGGCGGCCGGCGGCCTTGCCGTGTGGCGGCCGGCGGCCGGCGGCCGGCGGCCTTGCCGGTTGGCGGCCGGCGGCCGGCGGCCTTGCCGGGTGGCGGCCGGCGGCCGGCGGCCTTGCCGCGTGGCGGCCGGCGGCCGGCGGCCTTGCCGCGTGGCGGCCGGCGGCCTTGCCGAGGGGCGGCCGGCGGCCGGCGGCCTTGCCGTGTGACGGCCGGCGGCCTTGCCGGTTGGCGGCCGGCGGCCGGCGGCCTTGCCGTGTGGCGGACGGCGGCCGGCGGCCTTGCCGTGTGGCGGCCGGCGGCTGGCAGCCGGCGGCCTTGCCGTGTGGCGGCCGGCGGCCTTGCCGTGAGACGGCCGGCGGCCTTGCCGTGTGGCGGCCGGCGGCCTTGCCGGTTGGCGGCCGGCGGCCAGCGGCGGGTTTGCCGGTTGGCGGCCGGCGGCCAGCGGCCTTGCCGTGTGACGGCCGGCGGCCTTGCCGTGTGGCGGCCGGCGGCCGGCGGCCTTGCCCTGTGGCGGCCGGCGGCCGGCGGCCTTGCCGTGTGGCGGCCGGCGGCCGGCGGCCTTGCCGTGTGGCCGCCGGCGGCCGGCGGCCTTGCCGTGTGGCGGCCCGCGGCCTTGCCGTGTGGCGGCCGGCGGCTGGCGGCCCTTGCCGTGTGGCGGCCGGCGGCTGGCGGCCTTGCCGTGTGGGGGGCGGCGGCCTTCCGGTGTGGCGGCCGACGGCCGGTGGCCTTGCCGTGTGGCGGCCGGCGGCCGGCAGCCTTGCCGTGTGTGCCGGCGGCCTTGCCGTGTGGCGGCCGGCGGCTGACAACCTTACCGTGTGGCGGCCGGCGGCTGGCGACCTTGCCGTGTGGCGGCCGGCGGCCTTGCCGTGTGGCGGCCGGCGGCCGGAAACCAGCGGCCTTCCCGTGTGCCGGCCGGCGGCATTGCCGTGTGGCGACCGGCTGCCGTGTGGCGGCCAACAGCCGGCGACCTTGCCGTGCGGCGGCCGACGGCCTTGCCGTGCGGCGGCCGGCGGCCTTGCCGTGCGGCGGCCGGCGGCCGGCGGCCTTGCCGTGCGGCGGCCGGCGGCCTTGCCGTGCGGCGGCCGATAACCTTCCGGTGTGGCGGCCGGCGGCCGGCGGCCTTGCCGTGTGGCGGACGGCGGCCCTCCGGTGTGGCGGCCTTCCGGTGTGGCGGCCGGCGGCCGGCGGACTTGCCGTGTGCTAAGTCCCACTTGGGATTGTAACATGGTATGAGAGCTACTCATGTTCTTCCAACTTCACTTCCGTGAAATACGCCGAACCAAGATCTGGCGAGCGGCACACGATCCAAGACCAAGATCGCCGGAAGATCCGGAGGCCAAGCAAATCCGATGGCCGAAGGACAAACCAACTTGGCTGCGACAAATGAGGCGACAACCACGATCAGCACTGCCGCACTCGAGCAGTAATTTTCGCGACTATCAACTATGGAGAAAGACCTCCAAGAACTGCGCAAAGGCGATGCGGGAACCTCTTCCCAACCATTTCAACCTGGACAACCGGCCGCAAAAAGACGTGATACCGCCGCGCACACCTTCTCCCTCGACACAGACAAATCAACAACAACTGCCCCCCGTCCAAGTGATGAAGTTATCAACTCTGCGCAAGCACGCTTTCTCAGCGTTTCAAAAATTAAGACTACTTCCGCATTTGACGGCAAGGACTTCTATACATGGAGTTTCGAGCTTGAGCTCCTCCTACAAACAGCGCAGATCTACCATTACTTCGACGGCTCCTACGCAAAACTGGTGGAAGACACCGACGACTCCAGGGCTCAGTATTACAGCGAGTCCCTCATGGCATACAGTGTGCTGCTTTGCAATATGACGCCTGTTACGATAAGAATGAATTGGTAGAAAATGTGAAGTACAACCCTAGATATAGCAAACCCTAATCATGCAAGTAAGTAGAAATGTAACACCTAGACTAACCTAAGCAACACATATAAAATATATGTTGACACACCCCCATAGTCTAGGTGACGGAAGTCCTGTAGAAACAACAAGAGCAAGCAACAGTCACAAGACCAGTCTACAAGAACAAGACAAATCTCAGGGTGGAGCTCAAAGTCACCACACACTCCGAGAGCAAGCAAGGGGCCACAAGGCCAGTCCACATGCAGGTATATAGCAAATATAAAGAGATGCAAGAGTACAAGACATGCAGGACAAGGCATCTCTAAGCAAGCAAGTGAGGACGGGCAGGCACAAGGCCAAGCTGGGTGCAGAAACGCTGGTGGTCACAAGGCGGCAACGCCTTGGTGAAGATATCTGTCGTGTTGGCCTCAGAGACCACACGTCGAACGAGTGCCTGTCCACGCTGCTGCAACTCACGCAGAAGGAAGTAACGAAGCTGGATGTGCTTCGCCTTCCCAACCAGTCGGGGCTCCTCACACAACAGGACAGCAGACCTGTTGTCGGCGACCAAGACTGGGGGAGAGCGAGGCCGCTCACCAAGGTCGGTGAGAAGGAAAGACAGCCAGCGAAGCTCCTGAGCGGCCATGGCCGCAGCGTACACCTCTGCCTCACAGCTGGAACCGGCGACGGACGACGCCCGAGTCGACCGCCACGAAACAGCACCTGCCCCGAGGCTAAAGGAGTACCCCTGTGTAGACCGACGCGTCTCCGCGTCGTCGGCCCACGACGAGTCCGAGTAACCTGTGAGTGTAACTGGCTGCTTCCCTCCAAGGACAAGTCCCATGCCTGATGTACTCGCCACATACTTCGCCACCCTCTTAGCAGCGTACCAGTGGGAAGGTCGGTGTCTCCCAGGCGCAACAAAGCGCGCAAGGACGCTAAGAGGGTAAGCTAGGTCTGGGCGAGTACAGGTCATCAGGTACATGAGACAACCCACCAGCTCAGGATATGGACCACTGGACTCAAATGACTCGTCCGAAGGTGGAGCCGTGAGCCCATGATCCACACCAAGAGGGGTGAGCTGTACCTTGGAGAACGGGAAGCGAAACCGCGTGAGGATCTGCTCGACCATATGCGACTGAGTCAGCGTAATGGTGCGAGCTGCCCTGTCCCTGGTGATCTGCAGGCCAAGGTAGTGCTGCAGCTCACCAAGGTCAGTGCAAGTGTGTCTCCTCTGCAGTTCCTCCTTCACGGAGGCCAGCGCGCGTCGGTCGGGAGTGGCGAACACTAGGTCGTCGACGTAGACCAGGACAAAGAACGGGGTCGAGCCACGGCGAACGAACAGTGACGGGTCAGCAGACGACGGAAAGAAGTCAAGAGCTGCAAGGGTCGAGCGAAGTGTGTCGTGCCACTCACGTGGGGCCTGACGCAGGCCGTAGACTGGTCGACGCAGCTGCCACTGGGTCCCAGGTGGGAAAGAGCCAGTGAAGCCAGGCGGGCGACGCAGCCAGATCTGCTCGTGCAGGCTCCCCTGAAGGAACGCGGTGGAAAAGTCCAAGGAGTGCAACTCGTAGTCGCGCTGGGCTGCAATATGCAGCAACACCCGAAGAGTACTCATCTTCGGGGTGGGAGCGAAGGTCTGGAAGAAGTCCACCCCCTCTCGCTGACTGAAGCCTCTCGCAACATAGCGCGCCTTGAACACAGGTGGTGATCCAGGCGGCCGCTTCACCTTGTAGAGCCATCGGCCACTGACGACATTCGTCCCAGGTGGTGGGACTGCGTCGACGTAAGTGCCTGTGGACCTATAAGATGCCATCTCTGCCTCCTCAGCTGCTATCCAGTACGAAGCCCAGGCTCCCGAGACCGCCTCGGCGTGAGTGCGAGGGATCGGGATGTCAAGGGCGTCTGGATCCCCCTCAGAGGCAAGCAGCATGGCGCAGAGATGAGGAACAGCGGCCGCAAGGAAACCAAGCTCGAACTGCCTGTCCTCTACGACCTCCAGGGGAAAGACAGGAGCACCCCCAGAGGACGGAGAACGTGCAGGGCCACTCACCAAGTGAGCGGCGTAGTCAAGGCGGTGGGAAGAGGCAAAGCCAGAGACAGTGGTAACAAGTGCTGAGACAGACGACAGAGGTGCAGTCGGGTGAGTGACCAACGCGGACAAAACACGGGAGACGACAGGACGGGAGGCACGGAGGTAGTCGGACAACGGGTCGTGAAGCACAGTGAGGGACGACTCAGGGGGTTGTGGAAGGATAGGAGGAGGTGGAACACGAGAGCGGAGAACAAGGTGAAACGGACCGTCTGCACGGTAACGGGACCGACGGGGCTGTGGAGACACAGCACGACTGAGGGGAGGACGACGAGTCCACTGGGAGGAGGAAAGGGACTCAACTGGTGGAACAGGAGGGGACGGTAGGGGACCACGAACAAAGCGTGCAGGTGCTGGGTCGGGGAGGTCGCGTAGTCGCAGTCGCTGCTGCTCCGCCTCCTCTGGCGTCTGCTGCGACGGTACCGGCCCCTGCTGCTGCTCCTGTGGCTCCGCCTCTGCCCTCTCCTGCTGCGGCTGCAGCTGTACCCGCTGCTGCGACCGGGACTCATGCGCTACCCTCTCCTGCTGCTGCCGTGACTCCTCCTCTACTCTCTCCTGCTGCGTCTGTAACTGCACCTGCTGCTGCGGGTGGGACTCCTGCTCTACCCTCTCCTGGTGCGGCCGTGACTGCTCCTCTACTCTCTCCTGCTGTGTCTGTAACTGCACCTGCTGCTGCGGGCGGGACTCCTGCTCTACCCTCTCCTGGTGCGGCCGTGACTCCTCCTCTACCCTCTCCTGCTGCGGCTGCAGCTGCACCCGCTGCTGCGACCGGGACTCCTGCGCTACCCTCTCGTGCTGCTGCTGTGACTCCTCCTCTACTCTCTCCTGCTGCTGCTGCTGCTGCTGCTGCTGCTGCTGCTGCTGCTGCTGCTGCTGCTGCTGCTGCTGCTGTGCCCTCTCAAATCGCTCACGCTCCTCCCTCTCCAACCGGAGGAGACGCTGCTCACGGGTCAGGAAACGTACAGTGCGCGGTGTAGGCGCCACAGTGCCAGTGCCTCCAGCTCCAGCACCCCCAGAACCAGCACCGCCACCACCGACACCCCCGAGGCCTCCAGTACCTCCCGCAGGAACACCCCCAGGCTCCGCAGCAACCGACCGCAGAGAAGAAGGAGGAGGAAACTGCGGGACGGACGGGAAGCCAGGGGGTGAGGCAGGGCGAGGCCGCCGAGTCGAGGCTGCCGTGTCCTCCACAGGAGTGACCTCCACGCCCACAACCCCTGCACCCCCAGAGCCGACACCACCAGCTCCTGCAGCCCCAGTACCCTCACCCTCCGCAACTGCACCTCCCGCACCCCCAGACACGACAGGGACTGGACGCTGCGGGGGGGAAGACTGTGGAGTGACGTGCGACACACCTGACGGGGCAGGACGCGAAGGGGGGGGGGCTACCGGGGCGACTGGTGGGGGCTCAAGGGTGAGGAACAGCGGGGGGGAAAAGGCCTCAGTACCTCGGTGGGGGCGACTCCTGTAGTAACAGACAGACTCGTCGAACGTGACGTCCTGCGAAGCGAAGAACTGGTAGGTGACCGGGTCGTAGAACACCCAGCCGGAGGCGTCCAAAGGGAAGCCAAGAAAGACGCAGGCACGAGTGCGCGGAGACAACTTGTTCGCGCCAGGGGCGCGAACGTGAGCCAGACAACCCCAGACGCGGAAGTCAGCTGCTACGCCCGGAGAACCTGTCCAAAGGGAGACCGGCGTCACCCTTGGCCGTGCGTCACTGGGCCACAGGTTCAGCTGGTGCGCGGCGTAGCGGACTGCCTGGGGCCACAAGAACTGGGGGGCACCGGCATGGCACATGGAGGTCCGGGCAACCTCCATGACCAGGCCGATGCGTCGCTCGGCTACCCCGTTCTGCTGCGGTGATGCTGGTAGCGTGTAAGACTGGATGATCCCCCGACCCTGACAGAACGTCTCCAGGCGAGTGGAAGAAAACTCACCACCACGGTCCGAGTGTAGGCGAAGCCCACACAGGCCCTGGGCGCCACCCCACGCTAGTAGCCACGGCTCGAGGACGGTAGGCACGTCGGCCTTCCGTCGCAAGGGGAAAACCGTGGTGTAGCGGGAGTAGTCGTCCACCACAATCAGGAAGTAGCGCTCCTGACGTGGGCCAAGGACCGGAGAGGGGCCCCAGACGTCCAAGTGCAGGGTCTCGAAGGGAGCCGTGGTGGGGGGGAACGAGGAGGAGTGAGGGGCAGCGCGCTGCCGACCCTCGACGCAAGGAGTGCACAGCGGCGCAGGCGAGCGGGGAAGCGGTGCAAGCGACCCTGGGAGACCTGAGACCAGACGGTAACGTGCCATCCTACTAAGACGCGGGAACGACGGGTGACCTAGACGATGGTGCCAGAGGACCGACGGGTGGGTGAGGGACCGACAGTCACACGACACAGCAGCTACCTGACCTGACCTGACCTGACCCGACTCAGTGTGGTGGGACCCAGTGTGTAGTGAGTACAGACCAGATCCCGGCTCTCTGTGGAATGTGGCCAGGGGCGCCCCAGTGGCACCGACAGTGCAGGAGGCAACAGGCTCGTCCAGTG